TTTTTGAGACTTGAAAAAAACGCTCAGTAGGTAAAGTGACCAATTTGTTTTGCCTTTTTGACTGCATGCAAGATATTCCGATCAGCTCAGTTTTAGCCAATCAAATTGCTGTATTTCCCAGAACATAAGTGGACGCTTTACCTCATTAAAGTGGGTTGGAACTGTGATATTATCAGATTTAATGAATTTTTCGAATGGCTCTTAGTGTAATAGCTCTTTTTCAAGATCACAAACTTTACTTTCGCAACGATCGATCCCACGGATTTGATTCCATGGATTTGAAGGGTATCTCGGGGGTGGGGGTGGGGTGGAGACGATAACGCAAGGAGGCTATCAGAGATAGGGAGTGGACGAATTAGGTTATTTTAAAGGGAGAGTAACTGTGTATGGAGAGTATAAAATTTCTCGATATTTTCAACTGAACGAAGGAAAATTGTAGAATAAATTGGGTGGCAGTTCTTGCGCGATGCTCCAATATTTGGCCAATACTTGAAATAGCCCCAAAATATTATTTCGCTTAAAAAATCTCTGTCGTCATGGTCTAACACTAAAAGTCAAACGAAAAACTATCGCGTAAAGGGAACATTTTAACGCTTTTAAGTGTCATTTCAAAGAAACGGCTGTGAAAGACTATAACAATTTACGTTATATTGACTGTGAGGTGCTCTAGAGAGTCAAATTTCAATGTAAAGAGAAATGAAAAATGCCGCCTAGTAAAATATTGAAAAACAAACAGTGTCACATGAAATTATACTGCGTTCATTTGGTAGCTTTCATTTGAATGATCATAAATATGGATTTCATTCATAGCCTTCGCCTAGCACAGCACAATAAACAGTACCACATGAAAATACTGATCAATAGCTTTCATTTGAATGGTCACACACTAGGGTTTCATCCACCGACTTAAAAGCTAGAACCATCTTGTACAACATAATAAACAGTACCACATGAAAGAACTGCTAACTAGCTTTTATTTGAATGGTCACACACTAGGGTAAAGTAAAAGGGCTATGGTTTTAATTCACCGCGTTTTAATTTCTATACTACAAATATCGTTTGAGTTTCATTATCAGAAGTGAAGTTTAAATGTTCGAGAAATTTGTTTGAATTTCTATCCAACCGAACCTTTCTTCTGAAATCGATTGAAGGCGATGAAGAAGACTTTTTCGATCATTTTCGCCTTAGAAATCAATTCCTTATAAAAGACGATTCCTTCTCCGGTCTTGAATTCTAAAATAATCGATTTGTACGCTTAAAATTGAACTACATTTTGTTTTTTGAGATTTCGTTTTGGTCTTAAATTATAGCTTACCGTTAAGCTTATGACTTAAAATTTATGAAGTCCATCTCCAAAGAATAACAAAACATTTGAAGCGAAAACAGTTGAATCTAGCGATTCCAAAACTTTGTTTAGAATCACCCTCACCCTTTTATGAATATTTTAGTAGTATCCTTCCTTAATAAATGGATATTTTTAACTCGAAGAAACTTCTGAATATTGGTATTAATGACTGCATGTATTGCTCGAGTGATTAACGTGATATTAATCACTTCACATGAAAGAGAACCTATTAAAAGAAAACCTACGGAACTGTTGTTTTTCTGATATTAGTTGTTAATATTACTTTTTTATGAATATAAGGTGGAGTACGGAGTGAAATAATGAATTTTTTCCTGGATCCCGCTACCACTAAAGACAGATTGCTACAAAGAAATTTCTCTTCAACATGAAGTGCTCGATTTTTCTTAGTATTGTAGTTTTAATTGTGTTAACCGCCTTCATCCAAGGTTCTCCTATTAACGAAGAAAACGATGCAAATGTAATGAGAAAGAACTCCCTGTTGGAAAAGCTTGGGATGGAGTTACAGAGGTAAGGAAAAAGTTTGTCAAGAAATTTGAACCGTAGTAGCTTCTTTCAAGCGTTTAGTTAGTTGGGGCTCAGCGCGAGAAAAAGACGGAGCGAAAAAGGAGAGAGACTTGGTGCGAGGGGTATATAAACGCCTTTTAGCGCCGCGACTTTCCCTAATTTTTTCGTGTGCCATTTTTCGCGCTAGGTCCAAACGATCTAAACGCCTAGAAGAGGCAGTAACAGTATTTCATCAAAGATCACTTGAAGCACATTTCCCCAAAAACCATTTTAGTATACGTTTATGATCTAGTTGTGTCTTCTCAAGAGCTATCGAAATAATCATTCGACTTATTTTGAATGCATTAGGGATCCATACTACAGTCCGTACAAAAGACGCTGTTATTGCGGACCGAAACGGCGTCGTTACAGAAAACGCAAAGGAAAGAAAAGTTCAGGGTCTTCAAGTTCCGGGTCTGACTCCGAGTCCGGGTCGCCCGGTAAATATTACGGGGGATACCGTAAATACGGGAAATATGGATATGGGCATTATCGAACTCGAGGAAACCGTTCTTCGGACGAGGAGTAGGTGAGTATCTCTTGTGTACTTCAGCCAATTAGAAAGCAGGCAACGTTTTGTTTCTTAGCCAATCAGAACTAG